GTCCAAGATCGCATATCTCAAATTATATTATAAATTTGACATAAGAAAGTTAATAAAATTGTATATGAGAACAGGCCCCAGGACAGTTCGTCTAAATATGTAAGTGTGTGGGATTGTCTTAATGTCTATGTTTCCTCTCCACAACAAGAAGAAAGCGGTTTTAATACTTGTCCATATAATAGTTTAGATTTAAAAAGCTCCTCTAAGAATCGTATCATAAAATATGTTCTTGAGGTTGGTTTGTTGAAAAAAAAAACCTGAAACACATTTTTAGACATGGTGTTTTTGTATTATTAATCATGACTTTTTATCCAAATGGTGCACTTTTGTGATTTTACTGAATAAGCAGTCGCGTAAAAGACAAAAAATTCTGCAGAAAAAAAATAATTATCATAATAAAATGTTTTTCACCAAACCCTTTTTTATATCACCAGAACACTTAGAAAAATGTTATATTATTTGTGGCTTTCATATATCAGTTTAATGCTGGTTGCTTTTCTCTATGGTTGAGAAAATACAGGGTTTTTTTTATTACTATTTCTCCTTTTGTGTTCTGAAAACAAAAGGTGTAAAAGTGATTTTCATTTTGTGTGCACTTTCCCTTTTGAATTAGAGGGTCTGACAGTATCTTGACAGTACAAACTATTTTCTATATGTATTTATTGACATTTAAATATGAAAGTAATAAATAATACTCAAATAAACACCTTCCATCAGAATAATATTCAATTCAATTCAATTCAGCTTTATTTGTATAGCGCTTTTACAATGTAGATTGTGTCAAAGCAGCTTCACATAAATGGTCATAGTAACTGGAACAGTGTGGTTCAGGTTTTAGTGTTTAAGTTCAGTTTAGTTCATAAGTTATTTAGTTCATAAGTTCAGTTTAGTTCATAATAATATGAAAGATGTTAGACTTTTAATTGTTAAATGTGATTTCCTTTGCATTAATCACTAATTAATAAAGTGATCAGACATCAGAAAAATTAGTTTTCAAACTCTTTACAATGATCTTACACTATCCAAACACATAAAAATGGCAGAATCAAGCAAGAATGGAATGCACAATCATTTATGAAATATTAATATCGAATTACACAGCCCTATATGTGCATCAGCGTGTGTTCATGAGCCTTTCATGTTCTGCTGCTTTCATCCGTGTTCGCTTGAGTTATATCATTATTCTGCTCTGAGAACCTCAAAGGACTTTGAAAGCCAACATCAATTTGGATTATTTGCCTTTGTCACAAGCAACACTTTAAAGATGAAATAAGCTGCGTTCGGAGAGATTAATTTTCAGAGTCTACATCAGTTCCATCTCTGTCTGTGATCAGAGATAACAGGTGACTGTTAAAAAGCTGCTGAACTGTGTCAGAGGGCCTGTTGCCGTCTCTGATGTGAATTCTTGCAATATCAGAAATTTGCAAGAAATAATGGGAAATGTGAAACCATTATTAAAGGGATTTGGCCATTGAGTCTAATGATTTCTGTTTTGTTTTGACAGGAGAGATGGTGGCGATGGCCGCTTTGTGGGCATTTAAATCAATATCCAATTACAATACAAATTATGTTAATCCATGAAGTGTGTGAAGGTTGGAATGGCCATGTCAGTTATTTAAAATACATTTTTTACATTTGCTCTGATTCATTTTCTTCATTTTTTTCCTGATGTTTTCTTTATTTTGCTGCTGTTAGTACATGATAGAAAAGGTCTATTTATTAGTATTTTGGGGGGAAAAAATATGTTCGTAAATAATGTTAAAATAAAATGTAAAAATGTGCACAAAACTTGTATATAATTTGACAAAAAGTAATAAATAAAAAAGTTATATTAAATATATAGTTATATAGTTATATATATTGTTATAGTTATATATATATATATATATATATATATATATATATATATATATATATATATATTGTATATGTATGTCTGTATGTAGGGCTTCTTGATATTGGAAAAAAAACCTGATATTGCGATAGTTTAGTTTTCTGATATAATTATTGCAATATTAATAAAATTTCACCAGATGGTTTTAGTCGATATATGTAAAGTTTTTCTGGGTAGTCCAAAATTGTGTAGGTACAAAAATTAAATAAGCAAAAAATGCCTTTCAATAGGGAAATAAGTTGAATAACCATTTTTAAATAATTTATAGTTATAGATTGCTAAGGATGATTTTGTAAAGAAGTGCATAAAATATAATAAACAATCTACAAATATAGAAAAGTTTATTAAAGAAAAAGATACAAATTGAATAAAAATCGTTTTATTGTTTTCCGAGAAGTCTAACAGTATTCAGATGAGCAATAATTAAATAATCAAATGTAAAATAATCCTACATACTCTTAGTTTTATAAACAATTCAATAAAATACATCATTATTAATTCATCAAAGTTACAAATGGTACAATTTCATAACCCTCACACAGTCACGGGCCTCAAAAAACACTTGTAAAATGATAAACTATAATCCAGACTCAAAATTGCGTATACTCACAATGTGACTATTGCGAATGATCACATAGCGATATCAATGCTGAAACGATTTATTGTGCAGCCCTTTTCGATATATCTAAATTCTTAAATCAAGGAACATGTTCTAGACAAGCAAAAATATTGTTTTGTTTTCAAAAATAATAGGTCAAAATTAAGTCTTATTTCCTTAAAACAAGATAAATGATCTGCCAGTGAGGTGGGTAAAATAATATCTGAGGGAAATAGGATTTACTAATTGTTTTAAGGTAAGGGGTTGTAAAATATTTTTTTTGGGCTGAATTTAAACAAAAAAGAAATAAGTTGAACAATATTAAATTTAATTTGTTAGTTTAAACTTTGCTCAAATAAATTGTCTACAACCACTTACCCTAAAAAACTTTAAATATTAGTTTTTTCTCAGATATTATTTTACCCACCCCACTGGTAGATTACAAATTTGCAAAAATATATATTTTTTGTGTTGTTTTCAGTTTGAAATGTATTTTTGGACAAGGAACGTGATTAAAAAATGTAAGTAAGAGAGGCATTTTCTGCAGTGCACGTGTAAAACAACACTGTCTTCATTGTAAAAAACAATTAAATACAATTAATCTTTTTTACACTTTTAAACGTCATAATTTCCTTTGCCCAAATGTTTTAAACTATGTTGAAATGCTTTCAGTCACAGGCCAGAAAAACACATGATACTTTTACTCTATTAAGGTTAAACTTAGCACTGTGGTTAAACTGTGGCTCCTGGTCAACTATAATTCAATCTTAACATTGCAGATCCTGCTGTGATTATTGCAAATATGTATATTGCAATTTATGCAAAAATAATAAATACGCTGTGTAATATGTGTACTTGTAAATAACTTTACTTTATTTCTTTTGCACTGTCAAATTATTATACTCTGATTAAAGTATTGCATTTTTTAGTTTTACTGGAAAAATCCACAGTAGGTTTATGCTGTGTCTTCTTGGGTGTCCTACATCTGTCAAATTCCATATGATAAACATAAATCTGTTTTTTAAAGACTCTATTCTCTATTAATCATTCACAAGAAGTTCCTCCTCATCTGTGCAGTGACATGACAACCCAAACAAAACAGCAGACAAGCATGTCATGGACCAGTGCTATTCAGTGTTAGTGAAGTGTGTCACAACATACAGTTCAAGAAACAACAGCGGGAACCGGCTGCTTTTTAATTAGCCACTCCAGTCAGAGAAAGCGAAAGGGATGAGATTCTTTTCCTTAGCTGCCTCCACCAAAACATCCTCATTTGTTGGACAAGCATCGCTCCTCTGCTATTCATATGTGTGAGATGGTGTGATCAATAGCCATTGATCGGAGAATACAGAGTCTGCTGCAAGGCCTAGTTTTGAATGTAAGCCACTGATGTAGAAAATGCTGTGTCCATCTATTTATAATCCCGGTCTAATTCGCACATAATCTTTTCATTCCCACATTTTGATAAATTCCTGGTTCTCTTAGATGTGTGCTTCCACATAATCATTTAAGGAGTTATTCACTTAATCCAGTTCTAGAAGGGTAAAAATAGCTGCCGGCCAGACACTGATGGAGATAAATCACAGTTTCTATAGGACGGTTTAATGTTTCAGTTGGAGCAGCAAAACTCAAGAAGAAACCTAGTTCAGTTTTCCGACATCTCCGAATAAAAACAAAGCCCTGACGTTAATCATTACCCTTAATTTTGAGAGTGTTGACATTCATTACAATTATTGATTTCTGACCAATGATCAAATAGGATATTCTTCCCTACAATGCACTCCCGTAGAAAGATTGTACACTCTACTTATTTAAAACAATGCTGGTTCGATCTCAATCACTGAGTTATTTTTTAAAGGTAAATTGAAATACATTTTTATAACCAAACTGTGTATATTCATAAAGAAACATAATTAAATTGAGGATTAAATTACATACCTGTAAATAAAAAAACAGGCATCTGAGAGATTAACAAATCTATTTCTCGACACCAGTGAAGTCTTAATTAATTATTAAAGTTGCCTATTATTTCATCACATTAACCAGCTGGGCGATGAATGACAATCTAATGCAATCTGCTTTGTTCTGTAATCAAACCTATATTGTCAATTAAACAAATAACAACAGATGGTACATTGTTACCAAGTGGGCTATATTAAGGGTTTGACTAAAGATCTGAGCATCTTCAGAGCATTTCAGCTATATGCAAAATAGCTACCCTACATCTGAACATTTTTCTAAAGTCAAATATCGTCTAGAACATTTTATAAATCGAAATATTTTTACATGAATTAAACAGTTCAACCTATTACATCAAGAAGAACTGTTTATCATCTTAACGCAACTGCATGCTTTCAAAAGAAAGACTGATTTCTTGGGGAATTCTGAAGGACAAATAGTGTCTCAGGAATAAGTCTGCCCGCTATTGCCATTGCAAACAAACCTAAGCGATCGTTATTGCTACGATCCAAAGCACTGTCATGTATTGTAGTCTTAAAGACAACTCACATCTCTGAAGCGGTTCCAGTGCTTGATCTTGCGACTGTACTGGGAAATGGTGGACAGCCACTGCTCATCTTCCATGAAATTCCCCGTTTTCTCCGCTTCTTTCCCGCTCTTAACGTCCACCTGCATGGCCACACGCACGAGCATCAGCAGCGGGACGAGAACACATCCCGGATTATTCATCCACACCATTATTCCGCGGGTCCGGTGACTCGATTCCTCTGCTTTAAAATGCGAGAGACGGATGATGCTGAGACTACAGTGAAGTGTGACCTGATTACAGGATGCGTCTTCCCTCTGTAGAGGGAGAGAGAGAGAGAGAGAGAGAGAGAGAGAGAGAGAGAGAGAGAGAGGCGATGAAGACGCTGAGAGCTGCTGCTGCTATCAGGTTTGTCAGCGAGTGCGCGCTCAGAATTTCATTAAATTATTTTACAGCCACATTATGGGATCATTGGGGGTGTCAGTATACCCATCATCTCTGGGAACAGGAAATATACCACACTTTTACCTGTCATGTTTTAAAAATTAAATAAATAATATGCACTTCTACTTAGTGTTTTTAAAAACAAATTTAATCTACCTTATTCCCCTTGCATGGGACAATAACCTGTTGCGAGGTTTTAAGGAAAAGTCAAGGTTTTAAAACCGCAAACATTTTCTGTTATACCGTTCAGCAAGTTTTTAAATGTTTTTTTTAAATGTTGTAAATTTAGAAACTAATGAAGAGAGCAGAAGTCAATGATTAATTTAAATTATTTAGCCTGCCATGTTTACGGTTCAAAAATATTTTAAATGCTTCCTAAAAAATATATTGTGTTTAATTGGGGAAAAGTTGTTGTTTTTCACCCAGACATTTAAAAAGAATATATTTTAGGGTAGTAATCACAATATCTTGAATCTGTGATATTTTTTTTCAAGGGTAGGCCTATCATTCCGTCAGAAATTTATACCGGCCCATGCCTATTCCTCATGAAAAATTATCTCTGTGTAAATAACCATACCATAGAAAGGGCTTGAATTAATCTGTGTGTTATTACCACAAGTGATACAGAATATACTGTATCTTAAACTGTAGTACACATTTATTAATATACAAAACATTACAATACACCATTACATATTATATGTAATGTTACATACATACATTACACCTTAAAAAAAAAAATATATATATATATATATATATATATATATATATATATATATATAGAGAGAGAGAGAGAGAGAGAGAGAGAGAGAGAGAGAGAGAGAGAGAGAGAAAACTAAAGAATACTGCATTTTTTATCAATACACAATAGTTACTATATACTAATGCATTCGATAACAATGTGTATAGTGTATATTGTAAATAATATCTTAATAAACACTAGTACTTACCAGTGTTGGGGTAATGTCTACAAGAAATGCATGTTAGGCCTGTAATAATATTATAATAATACGAGTAAAGCAACGGGCGACGCAGTGGTGCAGTAGGTAGTGCTGTCGCCTCACAGCAAGAAGGTCGCTGGTTTGAGCCCGGGCTGGGGTCAGTTGGCGTTTCTGTATGGAGTTGGCATGTTCTCCCTGTGTTCACGTGGGTTTCCTCCGGGTGCTCCGGTTTCCCCCACAGTCCAAAGACATGCGGTACAGGTGAATTGGGTAGGCTAAATTGTCTGTAGTAATATGAAAGTGGATGAGTGTGTATGGATGTTTCCCAGAGATGGGTTGCAGCTGAAAGGGCATCTGCTGCGTAAAACATGTGCTTGATAAGCTGGCGGTTCATTCCGCTGTGGAGACCCTGGATTAATAGGGACTAAGCCGAAAAGAAAACGAATGAATGAATGAATGAATGAGTAAAGAAACGTATTACTTAAAAAAAAAAAAAAAAACAAGTTATAATATTTAAGAACGGTTTATTTTTTGAAAATGTAATGCAAGTTACTTTTTAGTTTAATTAATTAGCTTTTAAAAAAATGTTGAATAAAAATAATCACAATGAATTAATCAGTCAATGAGAGAATGTGTTCAATATTTTGAACGCATCGAAGAAAAAAAAAAGGGGGCTTGTGTAAAGGGGGTTAGTCAGTATGTAAAGCTCTGAGCTCAGGAAGTTCTCAGATAAAATATATTTTTATGTGTTTTTAAAAGTAAATGTAGGTGTTGGTCATACAGTGTGTTTTTAATTGCTCCTCTATAAATAAAGGAAAGAAACAAGTTCTGAAAGAGATCGAGCCTCAACCAGGGAGTAAGAAGTAACTCAAAGGCAACTCAAAATTGATAGAACGCATTACTTACCATAAAAAGTAATGCAACTAGTTACATTTTAGTGAGTACGGTACCTCAATATTGTAATGCATTACCTTCAAAAGTAACGTTCCCCAACAACGGTACTATAAACTACTATAGAGTTTTTAATTAAAAATGAGGTGTAAATATAGTGTAATTATTAAAAAATGCTTTTGAAATTATAATGGTAAATACTATTAGTAGATACTAAATTACCATAATATTTAAAATGTTTTAAATAAATAAAAATGTTTGTAATAGATCTGATATGGAAGACAATGACAAACAAAGTTGTTTTTACAGTTTTTGACATACAAACTTGTTCTTGGAGCTTCGTGGGATTACAGTTGAACCACAGAAGTCACATGTAATGTGTTGACAATATTTTTGATTCCCTTTCTGCACTTGTCTCGGAACAGTTGCTGTATATGGAGGATGAGGGAGCTCTCAGATGTCATCTAAAATTTGCATTGTGAACATGAACAAAGGTTCTATGGGATTATAAAGACTTGATGGTGAGTAATTAATAACAGAATCAACATTTTTGGGTGAACTAGTTATTCAAGCCTTGCTGCTGTCATTGATTTGGAGCCTAAGTCAGGGTTGGGCACAAAACCACACCACAACTCTTAGCATTAAAAAAACAAATAAAACAAACATATTAAGAAAATAAACACCTGAATATGCATATTGTGTGTATTCGTTTGTGTATCTTCATTTGCAGAAAATCATTTGCAGGACCTTCATTTATAACAAGCCTTCTGTTTCATTAGGTGTTCAGTGTGCACAAGGGATAGTCTTATTATTTCTTTGCTAATGGCAGAATAGTAAGTATTGTAATCAGTTTCCCTAACACAACCAGTTCCCATTAATGAGGACCATGAGTAGTTGTTTGGATTGAAACCATTTATGAGTGTGTATTAAGATATTTAATACAGCTTAGGTTTGATAATGTGAACCATACAGAAAGAAAACAGGCAATAATGTTTTATCTGAACAAAACTGTAGGCGCGCAGATAGAAACATGCACCCTGATATTGACACCAAAACGATGCGCCATACAAAGCAATGATTGACAGGACAATTGACAAAACTCACATGACATTGTTTATCGGTGTGTGAATATGTCAGCCTATAGTGTAACTCAATGCTGAAATCCCCCCAGGGGGTTTCAAATGGTCATTTTGACCATAGCTATGGCTGTCACTCGCTGTAGTTTCATACATATGTGCCAGAATGCGACACCTGATTCATATGAAAGAACATATGCTGCAGGCAAGCAACGCAAATCTCAACATACCTGACATACAACATGCAGTCTACTAAAGCCGAACGCAAACAGATGTAAACCACACAAAGGAACCAGTTTTAAATAATAAAAGATTTCTTTCTCAGAACGTTGGCATTCGTGCATTTGGCAGGCAATTATATGCAAAGTGGCTTACATTTAGACAGGCATTGCAAATCATGCAAATTCTGCAAAACAAGGGATTTGAGGGAAAAATCAGACAGACAGACAGACAGACAGACAGACAGACAGACAGACAGACAGACAGACAGACAGACAGACAGACAGACAGACAGACAGACAGACAGACAGATAGATAGATAGATAGATAGATAGATAGATAGATAGATAGATAGATAGATAGATAGATAGATAGATAGATAGATAGATAGATGCTCTCACAACCGTCTCTGAGGAAGAACCTTTTGAAATGGAACAGTTTTGTACTTTTTACCCATTAATATACATTTAGGTATCCAATTAGGATACTAATATGGACCATTTGATGCTAAAGTTGACTTTTTCCTAATAGTGTCTGATGGTGCATGTCTGACGGTACATGTGCAGTCGATTTGCAGCCAGAATCTTCTCACTTTTTCAAAAGGTACTGCGCAAGTAACAGCTTTCTTACCTTATTTTCATAGTATATATATATATATATATATATATTGATGGTAGTTGTATGAAATTGTACACGTGCAGTTTAGGATCCTTATAAAGATAAAGTTAATGAATGCTATAAATCTAGCCGTTACAGATAAAATTCCTATACACTACCTGACAAAAGTCTTGTTGCCTATACTAGTTATAGGAATAAGAAAATGATAATTTAACTTCTAGTATCATTTGGTATCAGAAGTGGCTTATAGAAGGGAAAGACCTCTGAATTACACGTATTATACCTAAATAAAATATGATAATGTCTTGATTTTTTATGATTTAATTAGGACAGTAAGGTCTGACTTTGCTTAGACAAAAGTTTGTCACTTAACAGAAATAATGTACAGTACAGAACACAAGTCATGGTGCAGTGGTAAAAAGAGCTAATATTGTGTATGAGTCCCATGAGCTTGCACGACTGCATCCATACACCTCTGCAATGACTCAAATAACTTATTAATAAAGTCATCTGGAATGGCAGAGAAAGCGTTCTTGCAGGACTCCCAGAGTTCATCAATATTCTTTTGATTAATCTTCAATGCCTCCTCCTTCATCTTACCCTCGACATGCTCAATAACGTTTATTTCTAGTGAGTGGGCTGGCCAATCCTGAAGCACCTTGACCTTCTTTGCTTTTAGGAACTTTGATGTGGAGGCTGAAGTATAAGAAGCGCTATCCTGCTAAAGAATTTGCCCTCTCCTGTGGTTTGTAATGTAATGGAGAGCACAAATGTCTTGATACCTCAAGCTGTTGATGTTGCCTTCCACTCTGCAGATCTCTCACATGCCTTCATACTGAATGCAACCCCAAACCAGGATTTTTCCTTTACCAAACTTGACTGATTTCTATATTGACTGTATTTGTGATGATTGAGATTCAGTTCAACAGAGGGCTCATCTGAAAAAAACTACCTTCTCCCATCTTTCCAAATGATTAATTACAAGTCAAGTTATTATATGTTGCTTACATCTGGCATTGACGGCAAAAATTTTGTCAGTTAGTGTAGGTCTACACAATCCAATGTCACACTGGGAATCAAACAAGGACTTTTGTTGTTGCTGACATCATAAATGTTCTACACTCTGAAAGTGGTTCTTTTTCTTGT